GAGGCAGTCACTCGCCAGCCATTGGACGGCCGCTCATGGCAGCTCGCGAAAGCTCACGCCTGCTGCCAGCCAACCCCACTGCAGCCTACACCGTCGCAGGCGACTCACAGCAGCCCAGCTCTAGGTGGAGCTGTTGTTCACCATCTTAGTTGTAGAGGGCGCAGCGTCACTGGCCCTAATGTGGGATCTGAACCTGGGTCCTGCTGCTCAGAGCTGCTGTCCCAAGCCAACTCCTAACCAACGTGTCACTCAGCCGGCCCTATACTGTACTTTTTATGGAAAGAGGTTGTAAGTTATTTCTGAAGCTGTTAAAACATACATGTAGCAAGGATAATTGGTTTAAATACATAGATTTAAATGTATATAGATACTTTCATTTATGGAGCATTAAAGTTAAAGAAATTACAAAGTAGGATACAGACTCATTTTATATTTCTTGAAGATGCAAAGAGGCAGACAAAGAAAGAAGGTGGACAAATCAAGAGTGAGAGACAGAGAAGCAAAAGAGACAGAATCAGAGAGCTAAAGAGTGTAAGAGAGAGAGGAAAGGAGAGAGAGGAGAGAAGAGCGAGAGAGGAGAGAGAGGAGAGAGAAAAAAGAGAAGGAGGAGGAGGAGAAGGGAAAGAAGAGAAAAGAAGGGAGAAGAAGGAGGGGAGGGGGAAAGGGGGAAAAAGGGAGGAAGGGAGACAAAAGGCAGAGAGGAAGGGAAAAAAGAGGAAGATTGAGAGGAGAAAGAGTGAGGGAGATGAGAGATGGAGAAGACAGAGACCAACAGAGACTGTGAGCACTAAGAGTGAGATTGACTGTCAGGGAAACAGGACAGATAGAGAGAGATCAAGACAGACACAGGGAGTAGAGAGAGGGAGCTTGACACTGAGAGGCAAAACAAGGGAGAGCAATGACAAAAAACAGGCAGAGAGGCAGAGCAGGAGAAACAGAGTGGTACAGTCAAAGAGGCAGAAGACAGGCAGCTGTATTTCTAATAATTAGTTGCCTTTTCAACTCCTAGATTCCATGAAACAGCCATGTCCCTCTGATAAATCTCTTTGAACAGTGTCTATTATATGCTTCCAAGTCTGGAACCCAAACTCAGAGTTAAAAGTTGAACAGCATAGGAAACATTTGTCAGGTTTCTTTTTTCTTTCTTTCCTCTTTTCTTTCTTTCTTTCACTCTTTTCTTTCTGGCTTAAAATCTGTAAACTAATTATTTGTTCAACACATAATCTGGAATAGTGTATCAGGAAAATTATTATCAAAATATTTTATGGCCGGCCGAGTGGCGTGTTGGTTGAGTTGGCTTGGGACACCAGCTCTGAGCAGCAGAGCCCTGGTTCAGATCCCACATGAGGGCCAGTGACCCTGCGCCCTCTACAGCTAAGATGATGAACAACAGCTCGACCTGGAGCTGGGCTGCCATGAGTCGATAGCGAGCGCATAGGCTGCAGCCCCTGCTGCAGTGGGCTGCTGTGAGCTACTTTGAGTGGCCGGCAGCCAACTTGAGTGGCCGGCAGCCGGTGTGAGCAGCCAAGAGCCGTCGTGAGCAGCCGTCCAATGGCTGACGAGCGACTGCTTCACCCAGGAAGAGCGCAATGATAATACCAACATGGGCTAGTGAAGCGACGTCCTCCACAACTAGACTGAAGAACAAGAGGACAGCAACTTGTCTGTTCCCCTTCCCCAATTCCCCAATGCTGTTCCACTCCCCCAATTCCCCAATAAAATCTTTAAAAAAAAATGTTATGGGCATATTTACCTGGTACACTGACTATGTCAGTTTTCTAATTTATTAGTTATATTGTCTTTTAATTTCTTCATCTGAACAATGAGGATTATTCTACCCCGTGAGACTACTATGCAAAGGTTACAAATAATACATTTAAAGAGACCCTAAGGTGCCTGGAGAGTAGGAGAAACTCAATGATAGCAATTATTATAATATTATCATGGTGGCAGCCATAGAGGTGCTGAACAAAGAACATGCTGTTCCACTGTGAGGGCTGCAGTTAGCTGACAGCCCCCAGCTGCAATGTATTTAGAACCTGCTTCAGCTTTCAGGCCGAAGCCACCATCTTCTCAGGCAACCCTCAGCCCAACCTAAGATTCCTGTAATGGACAATCTTTGCTCCCAACCTCCCCACTGGGAGAGCTTCTGTCAGGACTGAAGCTATTCCTGTCCAATCCTGCTTCCTCCCTGCTTTCTCTTGTCAGGTGTTACCCCTTCCAATACACCACTTGAATGCTTAATTCTGTCTGAATATCTGTGTTGCAGGTGACACAAATGTCCACTGTCAGTCCATTTACAAAACAAGTGCCGGTATACAGCTGTAAGCATATAGCGTCCTGTACTTTTTCCTAGATTTGTTAAGAAACTGTGTATCTAAATCTTCCCAATAAGTACATTTTCTTTGCATAGTCGTTTCAAGAATAGCAAAAGGCTAGTGCTTACCAGCGCAGGTTCCAGGCACTGAGGCAGCACCATTGTGGTAGCTGATTTACCCTCACTGCTTTCAAGAACAGACCTCTGGTGAGGTGATGGAACAATGATTTTTAGATGATGAGAGCTTAACTTTCTTTGAAAATTTGTATCTCTAGGTTCAGGATCTTTTTCAGGCTGAAACAAATTCATAATCATGAAATACATTTCACAGGCTAAAAAACATTTCTAGCACTTCTCATATGTTCTGTTTTATTGTAATATATGTTATAATTGTTACAATTAAAATAGGATATATACATTATTCTTTCTAACTACATATCTATCTCTCCATCCATCTATCCATCCCCTCAACTTGAAAAAAAGTTTTAAACTTTAAGATAAATCTCTCTCTCTAAAAAAGTAAGGTTTTCCATATATATAAAGAAAAAAAATCTGTTGAAAGACAAAACAGTTTGAAATATACTCAGCTCAAAAAAATGTCCCTACCAGGGGCCGGCCAAGTGGCTCAGTGGTTAAGAGCTCGCTCAAGAGTGTGCGCTCTGGGCAACAGCAGTTCGATTCCCGGCCTGAGCTGAGCTGCCAACAGGTGGCAGGATGGCTCAGCAAAAAAAAAAAAAAAAAAGAAAAAAAAAAGTCCCTACCACATAGAAGGCAATAACTCTCAAAAAGTGGTCTGTGAAAAGAAAACAAACGATAATAAGATCTATTACTCAATATTTAAAATTAAATTTTAGAGAAAACATTAACTATATTTATATAAATGTCTTCATTATGCAATAATCTTCATTTAAAAAAACCAAAAGTCCCCTCTAAGACACCAGGAAGCTGCAACTATAAGAAAGTGTGTTCCTTTACCAGCTAATCCCTGCACTGAAAACCATAGACTATTCAGCGCCTGCTTGTACTAAGTTATGTAACTTGTCTAATGCTTTCAAGATATGTTTAAAATAGTATTCAAAGTTTAAATATATTCAACATCACTAAGGAGGTGCAATCTGAATTGGGTCCTGAAAGAATGACAGGGCTTTTGAGTTTGGGGTGAGGGGATAAAGAGGATGGTAGAGAAAGGGGAGGAGAAGGAAGCAGAGGAGGCTGAGTGTATTCCAAGCAAAGGAAAGAACAAGGGTATGGAGCCAAGAGTGAGATACTCACTGGCACCTACCGACTTCTTTCATTCACTGACAATTGCACACCTTGCACACAGCTTTTTCTCCCATCCCTGTCATTGTTCTCAGCAATTTCATCATCCCATTCATTCATGACCCATCCAACCAACTGGTCTCTCAGCTGCTTGAACTCTGCATTTCCAATAACCTTTCCCCTCGTGCCATTTCAGTCACTCCATGATCAAACTGAGTTAGCCCTTACCATCAGCAGAAACTACCAAATCACCAGTTCAAAGAGCTGCTTACTATCCTTCCAACCCCAGCTCAATTATCTTCATGAAATAAACTTTCTCCAGTTTACTGATCCTACCATTTTATCTTCATCCATGATCCTCTCCTGTCTTATTCCTTCCTTATCTGCCACCATCCATCATTGTAATTAACTTTCTTATCCTTTCTTATCCCTATCACAGATGTCTGACAAATCCCCAGCCCTACCTGAACCCTGACATCAATATCCTGAGGACCACCGGTGCAAGTGTGTGCTGGGGAACACTGTATATAACCCGGCAAATCAGTCACCACACTCAAAAAGAGCAGCCCCAGACTGGGAAGCCTTCCACACTCTCTAGTTTCTCATAACTATATATATACTCACCCTATTTTCCTTAAATCTCTAGCTCCTTCCCTCTACCATTCTCAGTTGACAGCCTTACCTTACACTTCCCCGCAACAACAGAAGACATCAAACAGGATGCGAACACCCAGGACTCATAATTTTGGGGACCCAATACAAAATTAAAAAACTATTTAAAATGTCAAGTTGGCAACCGCAGGACATTAACTGAAGCATGGGCTCTTTCTAAGCACAAAGTCTGGCCTGCTACCTCTTGTAAAGGCCAGATCTTCCACTTGTTTTCTGGGTCCCATCCCTCCCCAGTCATTTTCAATGACTTCCCT